AAGTATGTCATGTGCTTCGAGAAGATTTGTGACACACCCTCGTTTAGGAACAAAACCATGTTGAGCTTTGGATAAAAGATTATGTTTTGTGCAAAACTTCATTATACAATCATGTATGAGACTTTCCATGACTTTGCAAACTATGGATGTTAGTGATACTGGTCTGTAATTTGATGGTTAAAGTTTACTTCCTTTTTTAAAAATTGGTGTATTATTAGATTTTTCCACAAATCTGGAACATCACCCGTGGATATAGATTTCTTGTAGATTATTGTGATTCGGATTGCAAAAGATGTTGCACAATTTTCAAGAACGCGTGGATGGAAATAATTATTTAGTAATGCGCAGATTTCGTCTTTTTTTGTAGTGGTTGAGTTGTTCATTGTTTGTAGGCTGAAAATTTGTTCATAAACTCGTTGTTTGCTGCGAATATGTAAGTATAGGCATTTTGGGTTAGACTTAGAAGCATAAACTAAATCTTCATATAAAAGTATGGCTTCTTTAACAATTTTTTTAACATTTTTGCATGCAACTTTATGTGCATTTTGTAAATTTTCATGAGTATGGCGACCTGCAGCAATGTAATTGAGCAATAACGTATGTTTTTTCTTTTACTGCTGCTTTTCCCTCTGGTGTAATCCACGGCGCATTTTTTATTTTAGATGGAACTAAAGTTGATGGTATGTGTTCTTTAATGTATTTTCTGTATATATTAACAAGTAAGGAAAAAATACTGTTAGCTGTATGACCTTCAAACATGGTATGCCAGTTGTTTGAAGCTATTTTTATTGATATTGCATCATAGTCGGCTCGATTCCAGATAAGACGAGAACGTGAGAGTTTTGGTGCTGTTTCTTTTAAATGAACAGCCAATATACCAGCAATAACACAGTGTGATTGACCTGTTTTTGTAAACCCCAATGGGTCAATTTCTGAGACTTTTATGAACCTATCTGGATCATCACTAATAATTAGGTCAAGTGTTGATGACGGTTCAACAAGATTGGAATGACGGTAGGTTGGAAAAGTTATTAGCTGTGTTAAGTTATTATCTTCTAAACAAGATTGGAATCTCAAATCTCTAGGGCATTCATCTATCACATGTCCAACGGTTGCGACTTTACCATTTATTTCAATAGACTCATACCATGTGTGGCTTAAATTAAAATCACCATATAATAACATACAGGAGCAGTTATAAGTTAACATGGCCTGTTTGGCCGCTGCAATTGATTCAATTGTTTGAGTAAGGACAATGTCATTTATGTCACGAGGTCTATATATACAACATATTAACAATAATTCACCATCAAATTTGATTATACACCATACTTGCTCAATAGCTTTAGAATTAAGTTGCTTATTTCTAACTTCTGTCGTAATTATTTCATTTCTTGTGTATATTGCAACACCTCCTCCTCTGCTTTCTCTGTCTGCTCGATGCAGTTCATATCCTTTTACAAATGTGTCAGATGTATTATTGTACCATGTTTCCGCAAGAAAAATTACATGAGATTTTTCATGCATTGGTTTGGATGAAATTCTAGCTATAAGTTCCCCTCTTTTTAAATTGTTTAATGAACATGGGTTGTTTGTCCAGAAACATAGTTTTCCTGATATTAATGAAGACGAAGTTGATGATTTTGAAGATAACTGTGAGAGGTTGGGTTTTGACTTTAATTTCAATCTTATTGGGCGGATTCTTTTATTATTACTTTTCAGGTGCATCTCAGATTTTGAGGTTGTTAGGTGTGGTAGATGAGATTGTGATGTACTGTTTCCATCAATATTGCTACTATTGATGTTACTTCGTTGGCTTTTGAGTGCGATTGTTGCTAATTTAAAAACATACTGTTTACTTCTGGTTGATTCAATAACGTCGATGCAGACAATTTTACCAGTTCGGCGATGGATGACATTCCGAAATGGCTGATCTAGCAGCCCTACAGCTGTAAGTTCTTGATTTTGTTTGACTTTTTGTGATCGTTTGGCATTAGAATCAGCCTGCTCAGCAGGAGATCTATTTTCATGAACAAAAACTTTCTCATATTGCTTAATGGTATGATGTCTGCTGGTATTTAGAACTAACTCTTTCTCTATTTTATTTGAGAGAGATACTTGGATGATGTTAGAGTTAGAGTTATTTGACGTTGCTTTTAGTTTGCTTGATTTTTGTCTTCGAATATGCTTAATTTCAACATTTTCTAATCCAACAGCTCCAAAAAAATCCATCACTTGTTTACTATCCTCAACTGTGTTATTTTCTAAGATTCCAATAACAATGACATTTAATTCTCTTGATTGGCTGTGTTTATTTACATTTGAAATTAGTAAACATAACTGCTGATGTTGTTGTTTGCTTTCAGTAGACTTACCAATGAGAGCATCACTGAAAGTTTTAGATTCCAATTTGTTCTGGTTTTTTTCTACTTGAATTTTCAGTTCATTTATTTTATTTTCTTGTGCAATAACTTTCTCATTTAATAATTTTATTGCCAATTGCATATCTTGAAATGCTGCAAATACTGCTTTATATATATATATATATATATATATATATATATATATATATATATATATATATATATATATATATATATATATATATATATATATATATATATATATATATATATATATATATATATATATATATATATATATATATATACACACACACATTAAGCAAAATCATATGCTTATTATATATAAAAATATTATATGTAAAAATGATTAAATATATGTTAATAAATATGATTAAATAGCATAACAAATGAAGGTTATTAACTAAAAAAGAAAAAAAAAAAGGTTTTTCAGCAAATTTTTTTTTTTAATAAGTTTTTTTAATAAGTTTTTTTTAATAAGTTTTTTAATAAGTTTTTTAACAAGTTTTTTTTAATAAGATTTTTTAATAAGTTTTTTTGAATAAGTTTTTTTCAATAAGTTTTTTATAATATAATTATCAATTTTGAAATTTTCATATTATTTTGCTTCATTTGAGATCTATCATAATATACTTATGAATTTCATGATATTAGGAACTCGTCTTATAAAGAGCTTATTTTCAAGACGCGGTATGAGCAAGTTTATTTTTATGTGCCAACGTAAATTAAAAAATTTACTAAATTTGAAAAGTAATACATAGCTAATATTAACAAATAATTATTAAAAAAAAAACGACAACTAATTAATTATAAATAAACTAAAAAATATTTACAAAGTGCGTTATGCGTTAATCATTTTTTTAATTAAATAATATATAAAGCGCAACTTAAATCAAAATTGCCCATACCGCTTTTTAAAAATAAGTTCTTCATATGTTCAATGGCTTTGAGAGATCCCTAAAAAAGTTTTTTATTTAAAAAATTTTTAAAACCAGTGTTTTTTTTATTATACAGAACGCATTAAGGGGGGAAGCATACACTTTTCAAAATCGTTGCCTTTTTGGACAACCTAATTTACATATACAGTCTTGGCCAAAATGGATAGAACACTAGAAAAAAAAAAAGCACTTTTTGTGTTTTTATATGTTTGTTTTAATCACATAGCATGAGTGAGTTCAAAAACAAAAAAGAACAAGAAAGAGTCAATTACTTCCCAACAGTTCTCAATGGGGTTGGGGTCTAGCGAGTTGCCAGGTCACAGCCCGAGAATGTTGCTTCCCTGTTGTTGTAGTCAAGCCTTGATAAACTGTTTATCTTTTTTAGAATGTTTACTAATATTAGTATTCAATTTTTTTCAAGATTAAAAGATATTTTTTCAATATTAACTTTTTGTAAGGTTTTGCTAGGCTACTCTATAGTCACAATACATAATTACATTGATGTAAGTTATTTATATATATATATATATATATATATAATATACATATATATATATATATATATATATATATATATATATATATATATATATATATATATATTATATATATATATATATATATATATATATATATATATATATATATATATATATATATATATATATATATATATATATATATTTAAATTTCGACGGTTATTTTTACGGTTTACAGAGCAGAAATAAACAGGTAAGTTTCATTAGCACAATTCTTATATTTACAAATTTACAATAAAAGAATTTTTTCATATATAAAAAGAATTTTGTAACATTTATCCAATAACATAAAAAACATAACCTCATCAAGTTAGATTAAGTAGCAGTAATAAAATTTTTGTTATGCCAATATTCCACCTTGAGATTGTGGTTTTTGATAGTATCTAACCTTTTGAAATTAGTTTCTAACGCGTCAGAATCTTGTGGTTAGAATCTAATGCTATCAACATTTCATTACTGTTTATTTTATTTCAGTCAAATTATTAAAAAAAATGGTGCTTAAAAGAAATATGAGCAAAATGATGATTTATGTAAATAAAGATCAATATAATAAACATTTTTTATTATATAATTTGTTATAGATTTTACAAAATTTTAAAACTGTAAATAAAGACCCACTTTTTTTTTTTTCTATACGATATAGTAGAAAAACATTTTAAAAAGTGGATTTTTATTAGCGGTTTAAAAAAAAAGTAAAATATACAACTTGTTATTGAATAACAAATGTTTATTATGTTAGTATTTAGACTATACTCCCAATTCATTTTATGTATTCCACAAGATTATAGAATATATTTTTTGTTAAGACGTCCATTATTAATTTTGATCACTCAAATTAGGATAACTTTGCTACTAATTGGGCTAGAAACATAAAGTTGGTATCAATGTGCAGCATTTGATAACCTCTTTTATCTATAAATGTTTTGTGTACATATATAAACTATAATTTGTAGTTATTGTAGTTAAAGAGTAGTCAATGCAGAGACACTATATAAACTAATAAAAAACAAAACAAATTTCTGTATCCTATAAAAAATATGTTTAAACACTCCTAGTCATAAACAAAGAATAATATTTGATTATTTATATATTAACAAAGCTATTTAGAGATTGTTAAATGCTTATCTTCATAGCAATGGTTTTAATGGCTTGTTACCATTTGTAAGTTCCACTTTGCACACAGTGCATAATGCTTTTCGAAAAGCAATTAATGTTGTCGGTGAGGATGCTGAGCAGCTTGCATTTGATTTACATACCTGGTTCAAGGTAATGATTTGAGTAATTTTATACAGTAGAATCCCATTAATTCGGACCCTGGATAAGTTGGATTTGTACTAAGTCGGACAGATTTTCAATTCTCCTTGAGCTTTCTATACATATAAAAAGCTTAGCTTATTTAAACATTCGCTAAGTCGGACTATTTATCTATTCTCTGTGAGAGTCTAACTTAACGGGATTTTACTGCAGTTAATATTAAAAGAGAATTTTTTATTTTACCTATGAAGTTATTTTTAATACATTATTATTACTTTTTACTCTAATTGTTTATTATACGACTAGCTAACAAAGTGTAGTGTCTCTATATAATTTTTTTTTTCTGTTTTAGAATGCACCCTGTAAAATAGAAGATTTAAAAAAATTATCAGATTGCATTTTTATTGACGATGAAACATTGTTTCTTCGTTTTATCAATACTAGATGGTTTACTCTTTCTTCTTCACTTATAAAGGTTCTATTATGGTGGGAAGACACCAAGAAATATTTTTGGAATATGTTCCAAAACAAAAGGAGTATAAAAGACACTGACAAACAACAAGCGTTATATTCGGATTCAAAGAAGTCTTAAGGAAACTGAAAATGTAATTAAAGGTATTCTTATTCTTATTTTTTTTGAATTATTACATATAATAGAGAATTGATTATTTAGGAGTTACTTGTGTCCATCAAATTCATTATTGGTTTAGCTCCCTTGTTTGAGAAATACTTGACAAAATTTCAAGATGAAGGACCACTTGTTCATATTTTGTTTTATAAAATGAAAAATCTTTTAATATCTTTAATGAAACGTTTTCTTAAGCCGACTGCTGTTAATGGAAAGCTTAACAAAGATCTTTTAAAAATTGATTCTTCCGATTCAACTATCCACCTTGATTTGAATAAAATGGACTTTGGCGAGGAAGCTAAAAACCAGGTAATTTTTGATAGGTACACATTTGATACATTTACCCGTTGCACATTTGCTACCTGGTAAATGTGTACTTGGTAAATATGTATAAGTAAGTGTACTAGGTAATATAAACTACTTTGTTTATTGTATTAATCATTAGATATTATATTATTGAAAATTAAGTTTTTTTATTCATTTTCATTGATGTAGATTTTCAATATAAATATGTTTTAGGTAAACAAAATATCATGTGAAAAAAAAAAGATATGTCTGCTTACAGCAAATAAGAGATGGATATATATCTGTTGTAAAACACTTGCAAATAAAACTTCCACTTGATTCGTAGATATTAAAAGATATGACTTGTTTGGGTGCTCAAATGAGATCAGAACTTTGGACTGTTTATGCAATTGGGCGAATAGCAGTTACGATGCCACATGTAATTACGGGAAGGGAGGTGAATATTTAAATAAATTTATATTAAATAACTGTAATATATATATATATATATATATATATATATATATATATATATATATATATATTTATATATATATATATATATATATTTATATATATATATAAATATATAAATATATATATATATATATATATATATATATATATATATATATATATATATATATATATATACATATATAATATATATAAATATATATATATATATATATATATATATATATATATATATATATATATATATATATATATATATATATATGTAGTCATAATTTCTGATTTGAAAGTTAACACTTTCTCCATAACAATTTTATCTTAATTTTTGTACAGGTATCATTTATGAAAGATGAATTTTACCAAGCAGCTAATATATCAAAAGACTGGTATATAGATTCTGATGCAAAAAAACTAAAAAGAGTAGACCATTATTGGGCTAAAGTTTTTGAAAGTAACAATGAATATGGAAAAACAAAGTATGGTATCTCAGTAAAGTTGTTAAGAGCTGTTTAACAATTCAGAATGGAAATGCCAGTGCTGAGCAAAGTTTATCTGATAACAAAAATACATTGACTCCTGGGAGAGTAAATCTAAATGATGAAACATTAATGGCTTTGAGAATATCAAAAGAATATGCAAGAAGTTGCAAAGGAGCATATAATGTTGATGCACTCTCCAAAGAGTTTGTTCAAGCTGTTCAAAATGCTCATAAA